CGGTGCAAACCCATGAAACCAAAAGTAACGATTCGATTCCACGGTATTAAGAAATGGAGCCAATTATAGAATACAATACCTCCTTGAATAAAATAGAAAAGAAAACGTGAGTGGAAAATCTCGCCGAGAAAGAGAGAATTTTAGAGTTTTTGGACTCAATCGAGAAACGAAGCTCCATAAAATTGTCGACGTTTGAGTTTTCTCTGCCTCCGACAAGAAAAATCTAAGACGCGTTGACTCCTACTGTCCCACATAAGTAGATAACTTAAGAAATAAGATTGTATACCTGAAGAAGATTTCAAAGTCTCCGACTTTATACATAAACTTTCTGACCATAAGGGCTCGATGATTGAACAATAATATATTCCGGGCCGATTGCTGCAATCATCCTAGCAGCCATCTGAAGCCTCTTTACTATGTCAAGTACCTGACCAAGAGAAAGATACAACTTGATAAACTCAAACACGAAACAAAACTGTTTAATACCGAAGATACAGAGCAGAACCAGATCAATATACAGAAACTCAAATGTCAAATTCGAGCAAATGCAACTATAGACATTGGGAGAAACTACAAACTCGGAAAAAAAAGAAAAAAAAAGAATATTCATCTCAGAAGCAAGCATTATATTGTGCCCTCGACCACTGCCTCCATTGTTGCCTATTCCGCTTCCTCCACGGATCTTGTCCTGTAATTATACTTGTTACTGGGAATAATCCTCCCTTGGACCAATTACATGCATGCCTCTTCATTATTATAAACTCATTTTGTTGTCCTCATTGTTTTCTATGGGTACAACATCAGAGCCAGACTTCACCAATTATTTTGACTCATAATTATAATAATGCATAGTACGCAGAGAAAAATAAAAATCAGCACATCGAAATGCTTAAAATTTCAAGTAAATTTTTTTCTTTGTTTGAACAAACAAGTAATCACATATATATTGCAGAAACTATATAGACTTGTTTCATCATCATCATTCCCATATATATATAGGAAAGAGATCGAATTTATTATTATTAACCTAAAAATGTAAAAAAAACAAACAAACAAAAAGTACTTCTCACATTTAATTTCATAGATACGACCAAAAGGGGAAAAAAAAACCCTAACCGGAACCTGCGTTCGCGGCGGATCCTTGATTCTTAAGAAGTTCCGGCGACGACATCATCTTCTGAAACTCCTCGAAATTCACATTCCCATCGCCATCGGAATCAACATGCCCGATCATCCTCACACAATCTTCAACGGAGCAAGTCATACCGAGACGATTGAGTACTTTATGGATCTCAGAAGACGAAATCAATCCGTTTCCGTTCTGATCGTATAGATCGAAAGCTTCACGGATCTCTGCGGCGGAGGAAGATGATTTACAGATCGCTGAAAACTCGTCGAGGTTAATGTAACCGTCGCGATCTATGTCGATCTCGTCCAATACACGGTTTAATTCCGCCTCCGTGTACGACGTACCCATCGATTTGAAAACGTTGTTGAGCTCAGAAACAGAGATTTTTCCGTCGCCGTTTGAATCGAATTGGTCGAATACCTTCTTAAGCTCCAGATCCGTCGTCTGGGTTGTGGATTCTGGATTTGCGTTCGCCATTTTTCGTTGTGGTTTGAGTTTGTGTTAATTTTGGTTTCTAATTTTGACGTTTTTATAGAG